TCTGGATCCCAGTACCCCACTTAGAGATGTGGTCTGAAAGGCATCGTTCAACCTGTTACTGTTTCATGAATGGGGAAGAGTCCAGAAAAGGTTAGCACTTGCCTGGGGGTGACTCTTGAGGATTAAATGAGCTTCCTGTGCCGAACGGAGTCCTCACAGCAGTGCATACACCTTACGAGGCATTCAAATAATCGACAGTAGTGCTAACAGTAACAAGCCTTAAGTGTTCTATGAAGTTTATTTCTAAACAACAACAACAAAAAAACCTGGACTAGCTGAGAGGTCTTAAGAATGGTGGGAGTGGGGCTGGGAAGGTGGCTCAGTGGTAGAGCGCTTGCCTGGCATGCATGAAGCCCAGGGTTCGATTCCTCAGCACCACAGAAACAGAAAAAACCCCGGAAGTGGTGCTGTGGCTCAAGTGGTAGAGTGCTAGCCTTGAGCAAAAAAGCACTCAGGGACAGTGCTCTGGCCCTGAGTTCAAGCTCCAGGACTGGCAAAAAAAAAAAAAAAAATGTGGGAGTATCTTGGTCCCAATTTTCTTTAGCCAAACATCCCACTGGTTAAATTTGTCTTCACACAATTTCATTCTTTTAGGACTGGGCGTGGAATCTACTTGGGAAGGAGTCCTACTTCAAGTTTGCTGACCATCAGATGTATGGTGACATTTGACCAAGACATTTGCTGGAATTCCCTCCCCCCCCCAAAAACAATGAGCCATTATCACGAGATATTGTTTATTGTAAAACTCCTAGGCTCCTTACCATACACATTAAAACAAAAGGCCTCTTTACAGGCACTTTAGGCTGCAGTCAAGAACAAAAGAATATAATGCCATGAAATGTCATACTGCATTGTGTCCTGCAGTGTCTTTTTATATCAGCTTAAAATAGACACATTTGTTACAAAGCAAGTGGCAGAACATTGAGTCAGATTCCATTTATGCAAAAATTACAGCATTCTTATGCATAGATAGTTTCTAGGGCAGAAAATAATTTGTTGCTAGTAACTTTATATGTAAGAATAGGGGTTAAAATTTTTTAAAAAAATTTTCTATATAGCCCTGGATACTTGAGTTTAGTTTTAAGCCAATGGATAGATATCAGATGCAATGTAATTTCTAAACCAGATAAAAATAAAAACATATATAAAAACTATACTGCTGGGCTGGGAAGGTGGCTCAGTGGTAGAGTGCTTGCCTCGCATGCATGAGGCCCTGGGTTTGATTCCTCAGCACCACATAAACAGAAAAGGCTGGAAGTGGTGCTGTGGCTCAAGTGGAAGAGCACTAGCCTTGAACTGAATATCTGAGGGACAGTGCCCAGGCCCAGAGTTCAAGCCCCACAACTGATAAAAAAAAAAAAAAAAAAAAAAAAACCAAAAAACCCAATACTACACTGCCAAATTAACTTTTTTTTTTTGCCATCCTGGGGATTGAACTCAGGGCCTGGGCACTGTTCCTGAGCTTCTTTTTTGCTCAAGGCTAGCACTCTACCACTAGAGCCACAGCGACACTTCTGGCCTTTTCTGTTTATGGGTACTGAGGAATCGAACTCAAGGGCTTCATGTATGCTAGGCAAGCAGTCTACCGCTGAGCCATGTTCCTAGCTCTAAGAGGGTCTTAAGTTGGCTGTGGTGTCACTCATGCGTTATCCCAGCAGAGAGAAAGTGCAAAACAGAGAGAGAGGGGGAATGGAAGAGGGAATAAGAGAAGAAGGGGGACAGGGAGTGGGAGAGAGGATTGAACAGGGAGAGAACAGAGAGAGGGGACAGAAAGCAAGAGGAGACAGAGTAAAAAAGGAAACTAAGACAGGTCAACACTGATAAAATTCAACAAGGTTAGCAGATACAAACATCAGTACGTGGGCTGGGAAGGTGGCTCAGTGGTAGGAGTGCTTGTCTTGAATGCATGAGGCCCTGGGTTCGATTCCTCAGCACCACATAAGCAAAAAGAAAAAAGCTAGCCGGGTGCTGGTGGCTCACGCCTGTAATCCTAGCTACTCAGGAGGCTGAGATCTGAGGATTGTGGTTCAAAGCCAGCCTGGGCAGGAGAGACCATGAGACTCCTATCTCCAATAAACCACCAGAAAACCGGAAGTGGCGCTGTGGCTCAAGTGGTAGAGCGCTCGCCTTGAGCTGAAGAGCTGAGGGACAGGGCCCAGGCCCAGAGTTCAAGCCCCACGACCGACCAAAAAAAAAAAAAAGATAAAAGCTGGAAGTGGCGCTGTGGCTCAAGTGGTAGAGCGCTAGCCTTGAGCTGAAGAGCTGAGGGACAGCATCCAGGCCCAGGGTTCAGGTCCCATGACTCGCCAAAAAAAAAAAAAAAAATCAGTATATAAATACTAATATTATTCCTTTAGCCTCGTAAAAACTAGTCAGAAAATATTAAATGAGACCATAAGCTATAAATATCTGGAAATTAATGCGAACAAAAAATGCTCATACACTGGGAATATAGCTCAATGGCAGTGTGTGTGAGGCTTCAGGTTCAGTTCCCCACACCACAAAACAAACAGGCAAACACAAAAACAATCTCCTCAAATTTTCATGAAAAAGAATAGCTAGCTTTTTAATGACACGAAGCATAAGAGGACCCTAGTCAAGAAACAGAACAATTAAGCAGATGAGAGAACACTGAAATATACACCTAGCATATGTAGGAAGTTGGGCAGAAAAATCACTAGGGAATCCTTATTCAATAAATTGTATGGAGAAAATGTATTCAACCCTAAGGGAGAGAAAAATGGACTTTTTACCTCAAGTCATAGAACAAAATGAACTCCAAACAAAGACCTAGGTATAAAGGGGGAAACTAAAACTGTTAACATTGTGTGTGTGTGTGTCGGAAAAGACTTCTTCAACAAGGCCTAAAAATATGTATGGGTGATGATGTAAAAAACAGAGTAGATGTAACATTCAATAAAGTATATGAGGTATAATGCTTTAGAGAATATTTGAGTCTAAACTGGATCAGAGGTTAGTACTTAGAAAAGACAAAAACCTCCCACAAATCAGTGAAATACAAGACAATAATAAAGGCAGTGAAGAGGAGGGATACAGTTTGGAATGCAAATTTCCTCCAAAAGTCTGTACTTTGAGGGTTTGGTTCCCATCCCGTGGGGCTGAGAAGTGTTGGAACTTTTAGACGTGACCAAAAGGAAGTAAGTTAGGTCATGGGGGATATGCCTTTGGAGAAGATACTGGGAAGTTGTCCTCTCCTATTCCTTCACTTCCCAGCTACGCTGGACTCACTCAACAGCTTCTTCTAACTAGCCTGTGCTCCCTCCAGGATGTACTAACGCGACACAGAGCCAAAAGCCCACTGGGCCAACGTGGAACAAGGAACTGAAACCTTTCAAAGCAAACCATGAGTGAAACTAAAACTTGCTGCCTCCTAGTGTAAGATCTCAGGTATTTTATCAAAGTGATGAAAAGGTGATTAACAGTCTATAGAAGGGGGGAAGCTGAGAGGTTATTAAGTCTGTGAAAAGATGTGCAAGTTCATTAGTAATCACAAAAATGAGAGTTAAGGTACCAGTTTAGAAAGTCAGGTGTAACCAAGGGTTCTCAAGGATGAGAGAATTTTGGAATCCTTTTAGACTACAGGTTAAGATCATAAATGATATATCAGATGAGATAATTATAAATTAAGGTCCAGTGTTTTTAGATAGATACCTTAGAGTAGCTTGCTCAAGTCCATAAGGAAATATACAAGTTTATAACAGAAGTACTTAGAAGGACCACTTGCAGATTTCCTTCCTTTCTTTCTTACTTCCTTTCTCTTTCTTCTTTTTCTTTCTCTCTCTCTTTCCTTCCTTTCTTCCTCCCTACCTTTTCATTTGCCAGTACTGGGCTTGAACTCAGCCTGGAGCTCACTAGGCTTGCTTGACTACAGCTGGCACTCTTGCTTTAGGCATGCCTCCAGTCTAGCATTTTGCTGGTTAACTGAGATGGTCTTTTGCATTTTTCTTCCCAGGCTGGCTTCAAACTATGATCCTGTAAGATCTTGCATCTTGGCCTCTTGAGTAGCTAGGATTGCAAAATATGAACCTGGTGCCTGGCTCCTTTTCACATTTGTAGAGAAGAAATGAACAGGTAAATTTCAGACATATGAAGCGGAAGGGGCAGACAAAAATAGGCAAGTTATTTTTTTAAAGATATGGATGGAAAGTAAATTGAAACATGCTAGCTAATATGCCATATCCCAAGGGTTCTGATGTTCTCAATTCTATATAACTGGTTACAAACTACCACTCAGCTAAGGAATATGAAGCCAAGAGACTAAGTGACAAGATTATCAATTCACAGCTGCTAAAAAAACATAAGTCACTTGCCTCTCAGGACACTGGCACTCAGATGGTCTTCTTTATGTCAAAACTTTCAAGTTATCTCTACACCATTCAGAAGGAGAAAAAGATGAACATATTACAGTATGACACCAAGTACTCACATACTTTTTCATGAAACACAGAAACATTTAATCAACGGGTAAAATTCTAGGAATTTGCTGACCAGTTTTTTTTTTTTTAAACTTCCCTTAAGGTTATATTTTTGATAAGATGTGAATTTGACACAAAACTTGATGCAAAAAAGAAAAAAAAAGCCCTCCAGAAAAATGTTTACATAGATTAAAAGCAACCCCCCCCCCACTCTGTGTTCTAGAACTAAAATGGCACAGGACTAACTAGAAAAGAACAAATTTGCATCTGAGAAGTATAGCAAATCAAGCCTGTGTTACATATATAGTTCACTAGTGAGAATTATAACTTTAGGGATCATATACTCTTGGCCCACATTTCCAGAGTAAAAAAATACGTAAGTCCCAGAACACAGAGGATACACTAACTACAGGCAGCAAAGTTACTACAGGAGAAATGGGCATTTGAAGCGCTGGAGGATAGGAGTTAAATTCCACCATTCAAATCCTTCCCACTCTAATCCCATCAAGTCAAAGTTAAGCAGGGCTTTACCTTTCCAAGGTTATCACATGCATACATATTGAATACAGGCATAGAAACTTGGCACTTTTATTTGGGTAACAAAGGGTGTCCAAATTATATTGAAAAATAAATCCTAGTATCACTCCTGTAAAAAAATTTTTTTTCCGCACACTTTTCACACATGATTTATGCAAAAGAGAAGAAAATACACATAATTTTATAATAGCTTAAACTTTTTATTCCCTACCATTGACATTTTGTCTTGCGTTTTCTTTCCGTTTTCTACAATTTCCAACTGATACCTGAATTTAATACTGTTTTTAATCTGCTAAAGACATTAACTGTTCTCTAAGTCTAAGGATTATATAGTTTTAGTATAAATATATATCACATATTTTCGTAAAATTTGACAAAACTGAATAGGCATGCCTTGTCTGAATGAAGTCCATGCTCCTTCCAATGTTTATAAAATCTGATTTAGTGCTCAAAGCTCTTGGTAGTCACTCTTCTGTTACAACAGTCTTCCTTTTGAACTGCCACTCAATTTCTGACATAACAAGCAATAGGAAAACCAAAGAATTATGTTCATCTCAGTTCTTCCTTTTGACACTATAAAATAATGTGAACGTTAAAAAAAAAATACATCTCAAACTCAATACATTCAAAGGAGCTGAGTTCCTCCTTTAAAGGTAGTCACCTCGGAAGGCCACTGCAATATTAGTAACCAAATCCTTCGAAACTCTTTTGGGATTGCTTTCAAAGCCAGGTGCATACTTTCTACATTATCTGACAGTTAGGCTTGATTTCTGAAAACTACCATTTGGTGTGCCAAATAATGCTAACCATTAAGCTGGGCAACAGTTGTTGTTGTTGTTTTTAAACAATGTTTAATCATGAAACTAATAGCCTGTGATTTAATTAACTTTGAATGCAAACCCAACAGGCTCTGAGCAACGATAGGTTGCTGGCATTGGAAAACAACCTTCCAGCACAGTTGCTACACAGGGTAACATTCATTAGCTGTCTATGTTCTGGCATATTTGCTTAAAGTGACATCTGAGAGTTAAAAATCTATTCTTTCTAAAAGGAATATCATTCTTTAAAAAAAATTTATTCCTTTAAAGCATTACTGTCAAAATAGTACTATGCAAGCATTTTGTTAGCAAGTAGTTCTTCTTAGTTTACCAATAAAGACTACTTAAAAAAACAAAACAAAACCAAAAAACCTGAAAGCAAATAACCAGAGTATGTGCTTCCAGGCTTTTTATTATTAACCAAAGATAAAAGTAATTTCAAATTTCTAAGGTTCTAAAAACACAAAACAAACAACCCCAAAAGTAATAAAAACACATCAAGAACCAAACTACAATTTCTGAGCTGCACTGTTTATTTTGCTGCTTGAAACCTAAGTGACAGTATGCCACTGTAATTATGGGGTTTCATCTAAACCTTTACTACACTGCAGGTACAGAAATATACGGACACATTTTCTGGAGAATTGACATTTTGCAAAATGCAGCAAACATTTTCATTTATACATGAGAAAAGGAAGTGTTCAAAAGGGTATGCATTTCAAGTTATTGCAGGTTATTTGTGAGAGAATTTCTGCAGGTAAAACATGTTTAAATTTAACCAACAGTAGCATGTCAGTGTATTTAAAATCATGACAAACATCTTCTCTCTGGTCATGTTGCCCATGACAAATTACTATGATGTTGTGTGTTTAGGACAAGATGTCAGTACAGCATAAATCCCATGGTATTTTGGTTTTCTTCTGGAGATTAAAGCTGTTTTTCTTGGGATAAATGCAGCAGCAAAACACAAACCAGCTGATCAAAAAAGCACTTCTGCCATAACTCCAACAATTTTCAGGACACATCAACTGACAGTAGTTTTGCCTTTCCCAGTTCTTTTAAGGATTACATCTCTGCACTGTTGTCTTAAGCACGTCTATAAAAGCTTGTTCTCTGTTAAGCCAGTTTACTGACTACAGCCTGGTTGAGGGAATTTAGTTGGTTGGTCCATTTATCTAGTGCGGTATACCGTGCACCACCTCTCTTCTGATGATCCAGTTCAAGGAGTTGATTGACTTGGTCAATTCGGCCATGAATAGTGCTGGAAATAAATAAAGAGACTTTTTCACAAAGCATGACTCCTGAATGTTTCATATAACATTCACATTATCAGTAAATGCAGGAGAAAAACCTGCTGCCTTTGTTAATGAGTGAATTTAGAGTGAGTCAGAGTGTTTACTAGCTTCTTCCAACTAGCAGGAAACCAGACTTCATCTACCTCTAGAAAGAATCTTTTGATAGACTTAATCTGCTTAATCAAGGGCAAATGGTATTAGTAAAGCTTTCAGTAACTTACTACTTTTAAGAAAAAAAAAATCCAAAACTGTTTTGTAACATATACTCTAGGCTTAAAAACATAAAAATTACTATTCATTAATAATTATTTCGCTGTATATAGGGCATGACAAAAATGAAAAACCTTTCTGAAAAGACATGGAACTTTATGAGATCCTATGTTTAAGATTATCAATTAATCAAAAATGTCCACACAAAGCCAGGCACTGGTGGCTTACACCTATAATCCTAAGCTACTCAGGAGATCTGTGGAATGAGGGTCAAAGCCAGCCTGGGCAGGAAAGTCCATGAAAGTCTTATCTCCAATTCACCACCAGAAAACCCAAAGTGGAGCTGTGGCTCACGTGGCAGTGTGCTAGCCTTGACTGAAAAAGTTTAGGGGCAGTGCTGAGGCCCTGGGTTCAAGCTCCATGAACAAAAAAAACAAAAAAATGAAAACAAAAAGTCCAGCTATACAAATATCTCTTCTAATAGAAAATCATAACCACAGAATACTCTTTGTGAAAAAAATCAACAATTCAAAACGTATGGTCCCAAACATTCTGCGATTTAAGAAGTTTTAGATTACTCACTTATCCAATATGCACTGCACCAGTAAGCTTTCCACGTCAGCTACATCTATGTTCAACTCCTATGAAAAAAGATTCATTTTAAAAGCTCCAACATTTTATATGATCATTCTGATTTTAAATTCATTTCCACCACTGAAAGGAAAAGGTTTAATTTCTATTTTTAAACGATCTTTCCCCCTGCTCCCCATATACTGGTGGGTGGTTGAACCTTGTACTTTAAGACATGCTAGGCATGTGCTGCGCTTGCCTACGGAGCTAGGTATAAAGAGAGTTGTTTTTAAAAAGGAAAAATTCATAATTGCAAGCTGGGCACTGGTGGCGCATGCCTGTAATCCTAGCTATTCAGGAGGCTGAGATCTAAGGATCACAGTTCAAAGGCAGCCTGGGTAGGAAAGTCTGTGAGACACTAAATCTCCAATTAACCACCAGAAAACCGGAAGTGGCATTGTGGCTCAAGTGGTAGAGCACTGGCCTTGGGCTGAAGAGCTCAGAGACAGTGATCAGGCCAAGTTCAAGCCCACAACTGACCAAAAAATAAATAAATAAATAAAAATCGTAATTGCTTCAACATATCTTCTAAAACATAGATCTGATGAAGATCTGATAAAGACCAAACTCAGGAACTTGCACATGCAGTGCTAGGCAAGTATTCTACTGCTGACCTACAACCAGAGCCTTAATCCTGTATTTTTTTTCCCCCAGGGCTGAGGACCGAACCCAGGACCTTGCATGCACCGGGCGGGCGCCCTTCCGCTGGGCTAAACCCCCAGCCCCTAATTCTGTAGTTTTTGAAAAACTGTGCCAGTCTTGGGGCTTCAATGCTCACGGCTGGTGCTCTATCACTGGAGCCATACATCTACTTCTGGCTATTTTAGTGGTTAATAATTAGAGTCTCATGGACTTTCCTGCCAGGCTGGCATTGAACCATGATCCTTAGATCTCAGCCACAAGAGTAGCTAGGATTACAGGCTTGAGCCACTGGCACCCAGCTTCTTCTTCTTTTTTGGCCTATCTTGGGACTTGAACTCAGGGCCAGGCACAGTACCTGAGCCACTTTGTGCTCAAGGCTAGTGCTCTACCACTTGAGGCACAGTACCACTTCGGGCCTTTTCTAAGTAGTTTATTGGATATAAAGAATCTCACAGACTTTCCTGCCCATGCTGGCTTTGAACCATGATCCTCAGGTCTCAGAGACCTGAGAAGCTAGGATTATAGGCAGGTGTGGTGTGAGTCACCAGCCCTCGGCTCCCAGCTTCTTTTGAAGTATATTTTGTAGTGGTTAGGTGGGTCTTCATCTACGTTATATTTTAATCACTATTGTGATGGGCTGGAGAAATCTCTAGAAGTTTAGCAATTAAAAATTGTTTGGATACAAAGTTAATGACCTTTTCCCCTAAACTCAATTTATACCCACACCTAATAGTAAAACAGATAAATTACACTAAATTAAAATATATATGTAACACCTCCAATTTAGCGCCACTCTTGGGAAAAGGAATATAATACATTTATCAGAATGATACATATCATTAAAACCCATGAATACAAGTACCTTAGAAATAAAAGGAATATGTATTCTTGTGTAAGGCTTAATTAATTTTATGAGCACTTGTGTCCTGATGTTTCGCAAAAGTTCTGAAAGACAAAAATAGATTTGTATATAATTGCTTGTGTATCTTCATGAATCACATACTTCTAAGCCATTTTAATTCAGTTATGGGAGATCCTCTCAAAATGTATCCTTTTGCTTTGTGAGGCCTTAAGAGTGTTTATATCTAAAAATAGCTGGGTCCAATGGATACACTGTGTGACCAGAGGCTTCCTTTCCTGTAATGCTTGCTCCACCCCTGCTCTGTAGAAACTCCACTACAATGTCCTTCAGCCCTTCACACCATGAACAGGGTCTATGCAAAAGCTCTGACTAGGTAACAGCCAAGTTCCCTGCCCTATGTTTTCCAAATCTATAGTATTACATTTCATGTACTTTTTCAATTCCCTAAGTTTTGTTTTTTTTTAACATACAATTGCCTTTTTAAATTTTCTTTTCTTTTTTTGCCTTTTTTAATTTTAAAAACTGGATCTGAGTTCACGGATAATGTTTCTATACTGTCTACACCTACAAAGTACACTACCATTCAAGACTCATTAAAGAATTTTCTTTTTGCAGTACTGGATCTGACCTTATGGCATGGGGAGAGGGGCTTGCTTGCTAAGCAGGTGATTAGCCCTTTAGTCATGCCCTTGGCATTTTTTTTTTTTTTTGCTTTTTTGCATTAGTTATTTTTGGGATAAGGTCTTGAATGTATGCCCAGGCTGACCTGGATCTGGATCCTCCTATTTACATTTCCCATGTATTTGAGATAACCTAGCTATAAATTAGGATGGGGTCTTGCTAATTTTTTGTGTGAGCTGGCTTAGAACTTGGATTCTCCCAATTTTTACCTCCCAAAGAGCTGAGATGATACATGTGAGCCACTAGTGCCTGGCTTACATTTTTTTCTATTGTTATTTTCCTTTTTTTGATGACACTGAGGTTTGAACTCAAAGTCTTATGTTTTAAAGTAGATGTTCTACTATTTGAGCCACACCCCTAGATCTATTTGGTCTAAAAATGACGATTTTCAATCTTCTATCTGTAGAAACCATGATGAATCTGAGTTTCAAAGCAAAGTTATTTTTTACCTGTTCTTAGCCTATTAACTTTCTGGCATACCAAATGACATAATGTAGGTTTTATAACCGTTTTTAGAGAATAAGTCTAAACAATTTAGTCATTAAAAACAATGTGACAATTGAAGGAAACGATAGGCGTTACTTCTAAATTATTCTTCAAAAATTTCTGATGCACCTGGAATTTAGGTATTTAAATGAATTGTTCCAAAAGGTCATTTAAAAATCTCCTAAAAGCTCCATAATAGGGCAATTGCACTCGAGCTGCAAGTGACCCCCAAAACAAAGAGATGATTTTTGTCTGGCAATTAAGTGTAAGTTACTAAAGATCTCATTCACTTACAGGCATGAAGATGTGCGATGTGACCTTGGCTTTGTGTAGTAAATGCACCTAAGCCATTACCTATAGATAGCAGAATATTTTGAAAGCTTTTGACAAATCATTTCACTTTGAACTTAAGCATGGATACCTAAGTTAGAGTAAGAAAGATAAAGTGTAAAAGGCCACCTCTAACAAAACATCAGCTAGGAACTTGATTTTACTACAATGAAATTGGCTGAGTTTTGTTTATTTTTTGGTCGGTCTTGGGGCCTGAACTCTGGCCTGGGTGCTGTCCCTCAGCTCTTCAGCTCAAGGCTAGTGCTCTACCACTTGAGCCATAGTGCCACTTCAGGCTTTTTCTGTTTGTGTGGTGCTGAGAAATTGAACCCAGTGGCAGAGTAGCTTTGTATGTTGTGACAGAATTTAGAAGCATTTGCAGTAACAGAAAGAGAATTCAGTTATCAGAAGAAGCATACCTTCAATGTGTTCTCTTATGAAAGGGTCATCCATGATGTTGCTATGATTTGTTTTCAGAATCTTTTCAAATTCAGTGATGTCATTATTCTGATAGGCACTGATAGAAAAAAAAGTAAATTTTGTCAAACATGAATTCATGTTAACCATAATCCAGAGCCTGTTTCTCAATTTTTATACTTAAAAGTCTAAATTGTTACTTTATTAAACCACAGAAATTGAATTAAGCATATACGCACTCTTGCTTTTAAAAAAAAATCAGCTTCCAAGTAAAAGATGCAGCTCAGTGGTAAAGCATATGCTTAGCATGCACAAGGCCTAGACTCAATTTCCAGCATTCCCGCCCCTCCCTCAATTTCCTTTTTAATACTTAATAAACAAGTCTTCCGGGTTATGGACTATATGTATATTTAATTATTTTAAAAAAATCTTAGTTTTGTTAAAAGTTGACAATGAAACGTAACTATTCAGTGCCGTTGCTTTCAAGTTAAATTGTTCATTTGATTCCTAATCACTCTTAATGTAAGAAACTACTACTAGTACTCTATGAAGGAGTTCAGTGTTCTCTTTAAGTAGAAAAATATATCCTCTCTGAAGATTATTCCTCAGTTTTATCTTCTAGAAAGCTACCAGCAATTGTCAAAACTTTTCAAAATAAACTCTTTGGTTGTCCAAACTCTCTGGCTTTAGAGCAGAGACTATAAGCGCAACATCAGTGGTGGATAATGAATGAGCGTACACAGAGAGCAGCGGGGCTCCTGCTGCAGCAGGCCCAAGGCTGAATTGTGCTCGTATTGTTTCTAGGGATCTGGTATCTACTCTCGCAGGAGTTCTGTAAGGCACTATGGGATCGCTAAGGGTGCTGAGAAGGAAGAAGCCAACCTTCTGGATATGGCACCACTGTCTGCTTTATATGTAAGACATATCCTCAACATTCTGCACGCCTCTGCTGTGCTTCCATCTGTTGGGTCGCAATGTAACTTCGTGTTAGGGACAGGTGATTCAAGTGCTCCAACAGGAATTAGTTTCCTCTAGTCTGCTGGCAACTGACTAGGAAGATAAAATTAGGAAGCATTACTTTCTTACCTACTCCAAACACATTACTGTAATCTACTATAGGAGGATATATTCAAGTACTGAAAACATTTGCACGTTAGCTTATTTGCATACACATATTTTAACTGTGAGGTATTTTCTCATTTCTTGCTCTTGCTTTTTTCTTTTTTTTTTCCCTTTCCTTAGTGTTATACAAAATGGAGGACTACTCAGGGTCACTAGTCAGACTAAAAATTTTATAGCTTTAAGTTTCTAAGTTCACGGACAGAAATTTCACTGGGGCAAATAGATATAAAATACAAAGGTAATATCACTGCTTTTCAAAGGGTTGATAAATGAGCTCTTCAATCCATCTTAATATATGTAACCAATTTACTTTTTATAAAATGATCATTTCTAGGGCTAATTTTTTTCTTAATATTTTCCTAAAAAGTTCAAAGTGCTCTTTAGCAATGTAGTGTTATAAATATTTAAAAAGTAGTTTGAAGTTAAGCAAAATGTTTAAAAAGGGTTTTTTTGGGGGTGATAGTGAGGTTTCAACTCAAGAGTTTTAACCTGCTTGCCAGGGTCCTCCACTACTTGAACCATGCTCACAACAGTTGTCACTTTTAGGCGTTTTTAGAATGCTTTTTTATACCCGAGCCAAGATCCCATTTAGGCTTCCTTTGTAGGTAGGATAACAGGTATATACCTCTAGGCCCAGCTTGTATTGGTTGAGATAGGGTCCTATAAGCTTTTTACCCAGGCTGGCCTCAAACTATAATCCTCCCAATGTCTACCTCCCACATTGCTCGAATTACAGATGTGAGTCACCTCATCTAGTTTAAAAATCATTTTGAATTTCTAACCAGATCAATTCATAGTTAATGTGGCCAAGTGGAGATAAAATAAACTGCTTGAAATTAAGATGGAAAAGTGTCTTTTTATAACTAAAATCAACCTGATTCAATAAAAATGTATTAAAGTAGATTAAAGAAGCAAACAGAAAATTCCGATGTCATAACATGGCAATTTATAGTTTTTTTAATCCTCCATATGCTCTTAGAATCCTTAAAATCCTGACTCTTACTTCTTATGGCTAAAATTAAGGTTTGTGTGTGTGCTGACCCTGGGGACCGAACTTAGCCTTGGTGCAGTCCCTGAATGTTTTGCTCAAGGCTAGCCCTCTACCACTAGAGCCACAGCTCCATTTCTGGTTTTTTTGTTTTTTGTTTTTTTCCTGTG